TTATATGTATATATATGTCTATAACTTATCACTACACATATATATATATATATATATATATATATGTATATATATATATATATATATGTATATATAGAAACTTACCACTACCAACAAAACTGAGACCAGGGCTCAATAATCCCTGATGTTGTTGCGAATGATGAGGCGACATATTATTCTGTTGTTGTTGTTGTTGTTGTTGTTGTTGTTGCTGCTGCTGCTGCTGTTGCTGCTGATGTTGTAACTGTACTTGAATTTGTAATTGTTGTAACTGAGGTTCCGATTGGCTTTGATGATTTTGATTTAAATGCAACGCCAGCTCTGGCCGCTCCTTAGCTAGTGGTTGATAACCAGCTTCCCCGGTTGCATATGTAAGACCAACCAGTTTGGTATTGAAGTGTTGCGGCGTTCCATTGTAATGTCTGAAACGTACCAAAACCGTAAGGTTTTTGTTTTCATTTTGCTTTTGCTTTTCCGCCCGTTATAACACCTTTCGTCGTCGATAGTTATTCCAAGACTCACTCACCTTGATGCATCGAAGCCTCTCGTTAAGGCTATACTATGCTCAGGAAAAGGGTCTACGCTGGGTTCTACGGGCGTGGTCATTTGACCTGAGTCCTGAACTATGCCGCTCCCAGCGGAGGCTGGGGAATGTAACGAGTCCTCGAGTAGATCGTTACCTCCATCTCCGGCTTGTAATTTAGGTAAAAATAAATCTGCGGCATCGTTAAGACTTTCCAACAATGCCGTATGATCGGACGGCGAACTGAACGTCAACGTAGCTGTAAATTGCAATGGATCGACAACGGCACCGGTCACCATATCGACCATCATTCCGTTTTCCGTGACGTCATATGCACCATATTGACCAGATAACAAATCATTAGGTTGAATCTTATAAGCGGATAGATCCTCTTCCTCCTTCAATGCCAAACCATAAGATGCGCAAACATTTTGAAGTAAGGAGTACTGTTTCCCTTCTTGAGCACTGTATTGAGCATGTTGCGAATTAACGTCTTGTTGTCCCGTGTCACATTCCATCCCTATCGCTGGAGTAGGTGTGAGGTAGCTATTACCTGAAATATCATACTAGAAATTAATAAATCTGTTATAATAACGTGACATAATATATTTAAATTGAAACATTGATATACCTTGACTGGTCGTATATTGGTTCGCGAAATTGGCTAGGTTGTTGCCACCTTTAAGGGACTCGTAAAACGGTGGTAAGGAACCAGTAGGTGGTGAACTTGGGGCATAATTGCCCCGGCCCCCGTTCCCACCTGGATTCATTCCTCCTCCTCCAGCTCCCCCACCTACGGCACCACCCCCTCCTCCTGAGGTACCACCTCCGGAATAACTGCACGAATTACCCGTGTTCGAGGATGACGATGACGCCGAGGAAGACGAATTACTAGTATTAGAATTTGAATTAGAACTGGAAGAACCATTGTTCGTTCCAGAATTGTTGGTTCTTCCAAGTCCTGCTGCTGTGTGAACAATTTGCGGCCCAGAAAGCCTCATAGCTAGCAATGGTCTAGCAATAGAATTACATATCGTGCGCGATACTTTTGCAGTCTCGCGGCCTCTCTCGTCGTCCTCTTCCTTTCTTTTCGGTACCGCATAATCTATCGGCTGTTCCTGAAATAATAAACGTACGTTGCTTTTTAATCTTTCTCTTTAAATATTCTCATTTGATAATGAAATTAATCGAGACTGTATTAAGCACGAGATCGATTTATTTACGGATTGATTAATAATTTTAACGATGATTGATAATTTGAAAAAAGAAAAGAAGAAAAGAAAAAAGAAAAAGAAAATGAAAGTAAAAAGAAAATTACGAAAAGTCTGATACTCTTTGAAGATTTATTAATGTGAAAATTTACGATTAAATCTCGCTCTTAAAATCTCTTTCTATGTACATATGTATGTATGTATGTATGTATGTATGTGTGTACGTATGTATGTGTGTACGTATGTATGTATGTACGTATGTAAGTATGTATGTATGTATGTATGTATGTGTGTACGTATGTATGTATGTATGTATGTATGTATGTATGTATGTATGTATGTATGTATGTATGTATGTATGTATGTATGTATGTATGTATGTATGTATGTATGTATGTATGTATGTATGTATGTATGTATGTATGTATGGTATTTGTGAAAGAAACCAGTTTTTGTTCTTTTTTCTTTTGTTTTTGTTTTCTTTTCTTTTTTTTGTTTTTGTTTTTTTGTTTTTTTTCTGAGTGGACGCACCTGCTCAGGCTCCTGACTTTGAGGAACTTCGATCTTCTCTTCCCTTCTGGAGTTACCTTGACTCTGATGCGGTACCCTCTGAATCACGGAAACTCTGGTCGGTGGTTCGACACGTGGGACCTTAGGTGGGGTTGGCGGCCTCGGCAATACGAGCTTTTCCGTTTTTGTGATAAATTGCGGAGCATCTCCGGATGGCGTTGGAATGATAGGTGGCGTACTATATTCCTTTCGTTCGGCGCGAGTTAATACATGACCTCTGCTCCCATAGGGTACGTCCCCACCAAGGATACTGGAAATGAAGCGCCTCGGTGGTGTACTCGAAGGCGTGTTGTTCGTCGATTGACATGGTACAGGTGGTGGAGATGGTGCTGGACTACTGCTCCTTAATGATTCCGGAGTAGTAGCACGATCATCCTCGGTTTTATCGCGATCTGTGGATCACAGAATAGATCAATTTGATTTTGCTTTTCTTTCTTTCCTTCTTTCCTTCTCTCTCTCTCTCTCTCTCTCTCTCTTTATCTTTATTTTTATCTTTATCTTTATCTTTATCTTTTCTACAAGGTCTTTACGAGCGTATCGTACGGAATAACGATGACGGTTAGAGTACCTCTTAACATCCACGTTTCTCTAATAGAATTTACGAGCGACCTTGAAAATCCGCGTATACCGTAAGGTAATGACGATGATGGTGGTGCGATGGTGGTAGCTATTAATTCCTTTTTTTTTTTTTGTTCTTTCTGTTGTTTTTCTTTTTCGTTTTCTTTTTTCGTGTTCTTTTTCCTTTCTTTTTTTTTTTTTTTTTTTTTGAATCGACCTGACCTTCTTTTCCCCCTCGTCTTTTTTCTTCTTTTCTTTTTCTCTTGGATATACATTAATCGATCGGATTTTTTATCGAAGAAGTTCTCTTTTTTATTTTCACATTTCTCTCTATCTCTCTCTCTCTTTTTTTGTTTTTCTACGTTACTATTAATGATATCAGGTTTGATAATTAATTACGAATAAATTATGAATAAAATATTATTCATCGTCGAAATGAATTATAGAGAAATTCTAGGAACGCAATGCTAGCATATATATACGTACGTACGTATATATGTAGGTGTATGTGTATATACATATATATATATATATATATATATATTTATATTTATATATATATATATATATCTACCTAGTAGTATTGACTTTGACATCAAACGTGTGTAGTCAGCGAATGCAGGACGAGGACACGAGGCTCGATATGTTGTCGAGCCGTTGAAGCGGAAACCAGGAAGTTAGGAAATTACGAGGACGCAAAACTTTTTATGATACCTTATATTATGCCAATAGCAATGAGAGATTATTGGAAGAAGTGATCGAACCGTGATTAAAGAAAGACTTTTTCTCAATTATCTTGGATCAAGAATGAAAAAAAAAAAAAAAAGAAAAAGAAAAAGTAATGCGATTCGAACGGAATTATCGAACGTATACGTGATAGAAAGAAAAGAAAAAAGAAAAGGAAAGAGAAGAAAATAATAATAAAAAAAAAAAAAAATAATAATAGATAAATAAATAAATAAATAAAAAAACACGCTTATTTACGAACCCGACAATATGTATAATATTTCTCTAGGCTCATTAAATTGTTAATTCGTATGTTAATCGAGTTGAAAAATTTTCAACTTCTTATCAATAATATTGGAATTTCTATAAATTCACTGTGGATTCTATAAATTTTTACATATTAAATTGCTTTATGTTATTAAACTGATATTTTCTTCTAGTGATGAATATATAATTATAAGAAAAAAAAAAAAAAAAAAAAAAAAGATAAATAAATAAATAAATGAATAAATAAATAAAAAAATAAAAAAGAAGAAATCAATTACTTTCATATAAACATATTTAATTATATATAAAATATAAAATATATATATATATATATACATATATATATACATATATATTTATTCATATACATATCATGTATAATTATTACTTATATTTTTCTCGATTAAAAGATTTTCATTATAGTTAATTATGAAGAATATCGTTCATTGTATAAATTAGATTAAAATAATTCTTATTGAATGTTATGTACTCTTTCATGAATTGATCTTAAAGAAAGTAACGAAAGGAAAAAAGTAATGAGGAAGTAAACAAAAAAAAAAAAGAAAAGAAAAAGAAAAAGAACAAGAAAAAAGAGAGGGGGTGGTAGGGGTGGGCTGGGGAAGAGAAAAAATTCTCTCCAAAATGGCGATCCCATTCGATCCGGTGATACGCTTCAATGAAAAACGCTATCGATCGGTACGAGTTCGCCGTCAAAATTCTACTTCTTCCTTTTTCTCTTCTTTATTCTTCCTCCTCCTCCTCCTCCTCCTCCTCTTCTTCTTCTTCTTCTTCTTCTTCTTGCAGGTTCTACCACGATGCTATAAATACCTGTAGAAGCCACGTGATCCACGTACCAATGTCTTTCTTCGTTCACCTTCTCTCAATCTTTCTCTCTCTCTCTATCTTTCTCTCTATCTTTCTCTCTCTTTCTCTTTCTTTCTCTTTCTCACTTTTCACCTCAGTTAAAAAGAAATAGAAGAAAGCAAGGCAACCGAAGAAGAATATAAGAGAGTTAGAGAACGTTAAAAGGAAACCGGTACTCGGAGGACCCCGACGAAGCGGTCGGGAACAGGCTTGCTTTCGAGCAAGACAGTAAGGACCAATAAATGGCCAATAGAGAAATTAAATCATTCAAAAAAAAAAAAAAAAAAATATATATATATATATGTATACATAATAGAACTTCCTTTATACTTTAAATCAATTAAGATAATTTTTGAAAAATTATTAATCGACATGAGAGATATGAAAATTAATTATTATTAAAACTATGAATGTTTGAAAATAAAAGTAATCAAATTTAATAATTTAAATCGTTATAAGATCGTTAAAATAGAATTGTTATTTTTTTGCGAGATAATAACGATCGATAAATAATCCAATAGAGAAATTATATCGTTTAGAAATATATATATATATATATATATATATATATATATATATGTATAATAGAACTTCCTTTATACTTTAAATCAATGAAGATCATTTTTGAAAAATTATTAATCGACATAAGAGAAATGAGAATTAATTATTATTAAAACGTTGAATGTTTTAAAATAAAAGTAATCGAATCTAATAATTTCTATCATTAAACGATCGTCAATATAGGATTATTGTGTCTTGCGAGATAATAAGGATTAATAAATAGCCGATATAGAAATTAAATCGATTAGAAAGTTTAAAAGAATTTAATATGATTCTTTCAATGAATTATTAATTGACAATGGAATAATGTGAATTAATTATTATTAAAACGATGAATGTTCTAAGATAGAAAGATTTCAATTCGAATTCTAATAATTTAGATCATTAACGATCGTGAACAGATCTTGTTATATTGCAAGACAATAAATCTTATCGATAAATGATCGATAGATAAATTAAATCGATCGATTGTTCCTGTCTTTCTTTTTTTTTTTTTTTTTTATTTTTTTCCTTTGCTCTCTCTTTTCTTATATAGAACATTATTATTAAGATCAACACAGGATACGTAAGAATTTAATTATTATCAAAGATAGAAAGAATATTTAATGATAAATGGACAAATCTTCTTAATATCTCAGATTTCTTTCAATGATCGAGAAAACAACAAGCCTGTTGTTGTTTCTTATATTTCGAGTAATTAAATTATTTAACGAATAGGACGTAGAATTAAATTATTATTATTATTATTATTATTATTATAAATAAGATATTTTTTTTCTCTTATAATAAAACAATCTTATCTGGGGGATAAATTTGATTATCGTTAAAAACGAAGAATAATTTAATATATAAGGATCAATTAATTAAATGTTAAGAGATCGATCGGCATAAAATCTTTGAAAATTTTGCAAAAATGTTCTCTTACAATTTGTTGAATTTCTTTTTTCTTTTCCTTTTTTTTTTTTTTTTGCCTATCATAGCCCCCCTCCACACCTCCCCACCACCTTCCTCTCCCTTGTACAACGATATATAAATTGATTCTTCCATATTTGAAGATTCAATGATCTCGTAACTCGCGATTGTCTTGCATTGCTATAAAAGAAACCTCAAAGACATCGACCCGGCTACTACGAGTAAGGCTACTTCTTTGTGGTTGGCTCTGCCGTTCGATCGAACGAAACGCCTCAGTTTAGCCGACGACCTACTTCCAAACTCGACCACTCCCTCAAGTCCTTTTTCCAAGTTTTTGCTTTCCTTTCGGCTACCCGCAGCCAGCCATAATCCTTCACTGTGTCTCCACGTATCGCCGTTAGGTTTACGGGTGGTTTCTACTATCGTCTCTAATGCATACGAACAATGGACAGGCAATATCTATCCTCAAACGTCAATGATAATGATCGTTCATCGACAAGTCGCGTTGGTCATTGTAAAACTCGTATCACAATGATCACGATCGATCAATGATTTTATTCTTCTTGCATATAACATTCCTCCCATGCTCTATATCAAAACTTTATAATAAACATATACGCAAGCATTTGAAATAATTTAGCACGCCTAATGGTGATTTAAATGTGGAATAGATTTTGATTATAAAAAAAAAAAAAAAAAAAAAAAAAAAAACAAAAAGAAGAAATCCTTATCCATGGAATACATCGAATTTAATCGAACTTGAGATAACTTCGATAAATTCGAACGTCGTATTCCTCGATACTATCTGAGCCTTGATAAATAAAAGTTTAATAATATATCTTAAAAAGATATTAAAACGGAGATATATGGAAAATATTCAGATACCCTGTTCGTTAAAATGTCTTCGTTACACACACACACACACACATATAAAATTTTCAATTGGACAAGCTAGAATCTTAAGAAAAAAAAAAAGAAAAAAAAAAAAAGAAAAAAAAAAAAGGAACTCGATAAAATCCAAAACCCGTGTACCAATAAATCTTGAAAAGATATATCACGAGAATAGAAAAAAAAAAGAAAAAGAAAAAGAAAAAGAAAAAGAAAAAGAAAAAGGAAGGAAACAAAAAAGAAGGAAAAAGAAGAAACGGTTCACCAAAATGGTGAACCATACCGACTAAATAAGTTATCTCATACGAGAGATATCTCGAGAACCAAGGAACGTAGTTGGAATGTATAGATCGGGGATCGATAAGATCGAGAATAGATCATCGTATACATACACACCCCCTCCCCACACACACACACACACACATATATATATATATCTATGCAAGTAGCAAAGCAATGATATTCTTCCTGGTCTACTATAGTTGCGTTGCAACGCAACTATAGTTGCACGCAAACTCGAGGAGAGTTGCGTTAACGTTTATGTGTGTATGTATGTATCTGCATAGCGTTTGCCTAGCGGTACCTTGCGTGGGTCGAAGCGTCGTCGTCGTCGTCG